TGGTCATGTAGAAAGAATGAACGAGGAAAGAATGATAAAGCAAATTTATGCTGCAGAAGTGAACGGCAGAGTCGGGAAGGGACACCCTAGACGTAAGTTTATCGGCCTAGTTGGCGATATTTTTAAGGTTTGGACCAGATTAAGAGTATCCTTCCTTAACCGATAAGCGTGTATGCGTAGGTAAAAGTAAAGTAAAGTTACAACCTATATACGTCCCACTGCTGGGCACAGGCTCCAGCTCATTTCTGAGATGCCCCAGTGCGTGTTGGCGAACTTCACATGTCTTCGAAATATATTTTTTTTTAATTTTCTGACATGCGGGTTTCCTCACGATGGTTTCCTTCACCGCCGAGCACGTGGTAAATCAGCACTTAAAATTGCAATTAACAATTTCATTGGTGCCAGCGGGGATCGAACACGGTTTGCTCGCGAAATGGATGGATGTAAAGTACGCGTAGGTATATGGATGTAAAGGAGGCGAGTGAGGTGTGTCAGGATAGTGTCGATCGGAAGTCCGTAGTGTAAACGCTCGCACGTGTCTGGGTAACAGGTGTGAGTGTTTATGTTATGTTATGTGTGTTTCTATGGAGAAACTGATCTCCATATATACTAGTACGTTGGACTGTCCATACCCTACAAAAAATTTGTGCCGATTTGAAGCGCCTTCATTGAGTGTACCAGGAACTGATAACTTGATAAACAATCAAATAAAATAGGATTGACGAGTTCCTTGTGAATAATACGTATCGCCTATTATTTTTACCTATATCTTTTTACAACAATAAAAGTTGCTGACAACAGATAATTAATAAATATTTATAAATTTACAGGCTTTCAACTGACTCAATATTAAACTGTGACTAAAAAATAAAAATTGATAATGACGTCAATGATTTGTGGTATGGTATTCTTTAATGTAATTTAAAGTTTAGAAAGGTTTAATTGTACCTATAGATACTGTTGAGATAGGCATTCTTATTGCAGCTTATTGATTTATTCTAGTACGAGGACTAAATGAAGGATTATTAATAAATTCCTTACAAATTTATTATTTTTTATTTTGTAGTTACCTACTCGTTTTTCATACCCATTGGACCCTTTTAAACCTTTCGAATCAACCATATACACAATGGTGAAACTCGGAATAAAAACCTGTTCTATAATTACGAAGAAAAACACATTCCACGTGATGGTAAGTGGTTGCTGTGGCCCATAGACATCTACATCTATCCTCGATTGCAAATCAAAATGCAGAATGCGTTGTCATCCGTAAGAACTAAGATGGAATGCCTCGTTTCCAGTAAAAAGGGTCTCCAGTTCTCTACACGTACCATTAGAAACATAGCAGCATTAAGCTGCTATTTTACGCTGGTATTCTGTGAGAGCGTGGTCCTTCCACGGACGAGTTGACCCATTCGTGCCATAACTTTACTACTAATATAACTGCAGCACGCTTCTACCACATATAAATGGCGCAGCGCTGATTTTTGTTTTATATGAGGTATAAAGCTCGTGTCTAAGATATTGATACTTTTTATTGTATGGCATTATATAAAAATTATACATATGTAAATAGAATGGGTATAGAATTTTATCGATATGTTTTGTCACATTATCCTACAGGTATCTATTATTAATTCTAGGGACGCGCACTTCTGCTAACAGTGCCAAATGGAAAAAAATCAAATCACCTCATAATGTATAGCCAGTCCCACGTACTTGTATAATAGAGGTTAGTTAGTGTGGAGATTACTCCAGACCTTTTTTATGTAATTGAAGTGGGAGTAGTCAGTCCATTTAGCTTCATTATCGTATTAACAATCATTTGTATTACCAATATTTGTTACTTGTGTAAAAATTATATATAATACAAATTATCATTAGTTAATAACAAATTAAACAAAAATTTAATGTATATCGTTTATTATTGGTGTACATGGTTATGCATTACAATAATATTTATCAATGTTAATTCATTAAATTATGGCACTTAACACAAATATTTTCAATAATCAATATAATATGCAGAATGACAATGTCTTATCGAAACAATTCTATTTTCGAAATAAACTTAATAATAATATATATAATATTCGGAATTATTTTTCAGTCGTTCGTTGACGTTCGCAGGAAAACGAAAGCCTCTTTTTTATTTTTTATATTTTTATAGGAAAATAAAATTTGCAACTCAAAATTCAACTTATTGATCCCAATCAAAATTATAAATATTCTCTTTAAATACAATGATCATAAAATAACTTAAATCTTTTGTACCAATAAAGGACAACTAACTCACCATTCACGATCTATGCCGTAATTCCTTAAAACGAGCGCGCAGGAAATAGTCATTTTTATAAAAAAAAATCAATTATAATACAAACTTTTTTAAAAAACTTATCACTAACAAACTTCTCTAAGTAGTACTTACATGCACTAAGGGCCTATTCATCAAAATGTAAGCGGTAATATTAATGAAGATGCTTCAAGTTGTTCAGAAAGCCAAACATGCACGTTTTCGTCCAGTCAGTTCAGTTTGCGTGAATAGGCCCAAAATCTTCTAAGCGATTAAGTTTTCAAGCGATTGAAGCGGACTCTGTCTTTTTCTCCGCCTCAAATTTATATGTGATTATTTAAGGCATGTTTATTTCACTAACACCTAATCGATTACATATCTGGGATATTTTAGAATTATTATATTATCTGTGGAAGCATGCCCGATGCAATGAAGGCGATACAATTAATACTCCGACTGATGCAACAAGCGCACACACACGACATATAACATTAATATAACTTTATAACATACAAAAGGCCACATCACATCATTCAGTCACAAAGCGCGAATTTATCTAAATTTGATAATGAATTTACAAATGTGATAATCAATTTTACGCAGCTGATGGCGCTACGATCGAACTTTTTATCGATGATTGTATACAATATTATTTCTATGGTACTTCCCTAAAGTGTCAACTTACGTTCATCCTGCAATGAGATCGTAGTGACGAGCCTCATATTATATTTTTAGTGAACGAAGTTGGCAAGAGACATCGCGCTTCGAGAAAGCCGCCTTCCGTAAACTATTTTTTATCTAAGAGTATCCTACGTTGTCGCCAATTTTTGTGACTCGACAGCACGACGGGACTACGAGAGGAACTGTATCGTGCATTTCAAAAAGGTTACGTTACAATTTCGACCTTTGTTTTCTCCACTAATTTATAAATTCTCATAGAACATTATTTACAATTTATTATACACCAATATAATAGTTTACTGTGACATTATTCACGAGTAGAATAGAGATTAAATTACGAGTATTCTTTGTATCAATTAATATCCAATAGTGTCCAACCCTTGATTTGAGCAATACTAATAGATACCAAAATATTATTTACCCGATCTCCGGGCTAAAGCAGTGATATGGTTCAGATATCACAATATTTCGTGTACGTAGCGTTCAGCAACAAATAATGCCTTTCAGTATCAATTAGGTATGAATTACGATTAAAAGTAAAGTAGCGAATGTACGACCAGTGTTAATTTTTCTGTGCCGGGCTTGGGATGTGTGGTTTGGATGGTCGCATGCAGTTAGCTGTGATAAGAATGTTACGCACCAACACCAAAATTAACTTCCGACCATACCTACTATTGTATATGCTGTGACAATACGCAGTGTAGGTGAGCTAAGGATAGACAGTTGGAGAAGGCCATGCAGTTAGACGTATTTTTAAGTTAAGCTTCCTACACCCAACAGTTTTAGGAGTAGTCTATAGAGTCGTTACCACAAACCGAATAAGGAAAGGCGTACAGGAGAGGAAAGCATGCCGTTACTCACACAAGGTACGTTAAAGCTTGCGGCAATCATTTTATATGCATTGAGGAGAGATTTAATCTTTAAGAACCTACTCTAGTTGGAATCAGATTATAACATCCTACAAATATTTTCATACCTAATAAGATAATGGTTTGAATATAGACCATATCGATAAATCCAGTTCGGTTCGATAATAAAGCGCAAATATTTTCTGATGGTAACTTTGGTACGACTTTATATACACGGATAGACACTGAGTAAATATCGATAAGTAGGTACTAACAATACTATAATACAAACATCGGTATACTCTAGACATCAATTCCGATCGATCTTATCTAAAACAAATAAGACGTCTTTCTCTTAGCGGCGATGAACTTTATATGTATATTTAGTAAACCTGATTTTAGCTTATTAATAAGAGATTTATGCCCTTAAATAAATAATTTATCTATCCGTATCACAACAATCGCACGAAGTATTTACTGATAAGGTTTTGATACAAATATCTAAATGCGTCCTACTTTCACATTCTCAGTAAATACTCCCACAATTTGTGTATTTCTTACAACGATTTTATTATACAGTCCCAAGATAATAGAGCCGTGCCTTAAAACATAAGACTAGATTTTTACTACAGAATTATTTGTGAGATTATTTCAGTGATGTAGTTCATTTCTCTAACGGAGACTTCTATGATTCACGTCCAATCACAACTCTTATATTATTACATAAAATACTGTTAAGTTCCAATTATAAAAAAAATGTCAATTTTTGAAGCGTATTTGATACGACACGAACCACAGAAGTCCATGTTTTAAACAAAACAACTGAATTTTTAGATAACAAGAAAATAGGTAACACTGAATAAAAAAAAAGTGCCGAAAAAGATAAGACTCCGTAACAACATATAATATATACAAAACCAATGACCAGCAGTTTTTCATATCACATCAGCCCACGCAGGCGATCCGCATGCAACACCACTCCACAAAAGTTTCTATTGATTGTTCCAGTCTTTATTGCACATACGCAACACCTTTAAAGAACGCATGATTGGCATAAAGTACCTACCTAACATAACTTTCACACACTGATTTATTTTCAATATCTAGTGCCTGCCTAAGTTGGCGCTCATCCGCAGGGGCCGCCATTGCGGCTGCCAATCATGCTAGGGCTGCCAATATCAGAAGTCCTCGAACAGCACGGCGTCCCGGGGCACGAGCCCCTTCTGGTCTCCGCGACAACACAAGATGTACTGGTCGTCCACTTCGAGGATCAATCGGAGACGCTCACCTTCGTTGAACGCTAGGTGACCGGAGTCCGACGGTAGACGATGCCAAAGCGTTCTTACGTACCTGTTGAAGTATAAATAAAACTGTTAATATACACGGTTATTTTTCAGAGTTTCTAGATTTTATACCTAATTTCAAATATATAAATAATGATATACCGTTATTGAAGTTTTTAAAATACGAGTAAATACGGCTTCTACTTTTTTAAACTATCCCAAATTGAATTGCTTATTTTTTCAATTAATTGTTCTTCCCCCCATTCGCCTATATTACTGATTATGAACCTTCTCTGCAAATTTGGCCGTATATTGCTTAATAACCCTGTATATAAGGCATAGAGTAACACCGGCCACTAACGGACCGAAGGGGATTAGCCAGCCTTTTTTCCCCCGATACAGAATTGTGTGCCCTTTTTTGCGAGGCAAGTCTGTGCACACAAATATAGTCTAAAACTCACACAAAATTTACATTACAACAGTATCGTTCGGTGACAGCGACAAATCGGATACAGACTCGGATCAGTCGCTCGACGATCCTCATCATTGTATTTATATATTACACTGTGTTGTATAACTCAATCATCCTCATATTGTATGAAGACGAGCGGTATGTGTTGATAAACAAATCCAATACAACACGACCGTTATTATTATAATTTTAATGATTTCTATCATCATCATCATCATCATTACAGCCCTTCGGAAGTCCACTGCTGAACATAGGCCCCCCAAGTAATGCTACAGAAGCACGGTCCTGAGCCACCTGCATCCATCAACTTCCTGCATGTCTTACCAGGTCGTTACTCATCTAGTGGGGATCGCCCTACACTACGCCTACCGGTACGAGTGCACTCGAGAACCTTTCTTCCCCATCGGTTATCGGTTCTTCGAGCTATATGACTCGGCCCATTGAACTTCAGCTTACTAACCCGTTGGGCTATGTCAGTCACTCTGGTTTTACTGCGGATATCCTCGATTTCTGAGTCTATCACGCAGAGAAACTCCATTAGCTCAATTTTAAGTTTAAAAAGAAGTAAATAGCAATGATGTGATTCAAAATTACTTATATATGAAAGGTAACGTCACATTTTTGTTGATATGATATTCGCTTTTTGCATCGAAAAACTGAACAATTCGGCAATTTTGTAGGACGTCGATTCAGCCGCGCAACTAGATTTATTCAAGTTTTATACCATAGGACCGCGTGGACTTATATTTGACAGAGGGGAACACCTACGAATGGCTACTTCCTTCCGGATGCGCCGGTGGCCTGTATTGCTTTATGAAAGAAGCAATGATTAGTATACCGTCAGTCGCGTATAAATGCGATGTGTATGATGATACTCGTTTTAAGATTGAATAATTGCTACTCAAATCCTTTACAAATAATTTTTACAAGGTGTCGCAACAATTTTTTCCACGAAAATTGTATGGCAAAAATGATTGTAAGTAGTAGATGACGTCACAGTTTCTTATAATCAGATGATGATTTAAAATAAAAATAAAACTGATACTAAGAATGCAAAACTGACTAAGTTCTCAGACACTTTATAAGCCCGTAAAAATCCACCGCTGGACATTGGAGGTCCCGTCGGCCGTAAGGCAAATTTGCCTTAACCGCAAAATTATATGATACAGTAAATTATTAATGACGGATAACAATGTTCCTTTAATTTATCGATTAATGTAAAGTGAACTCGTTTCATAGACGAAGGACTATTTATCATATAATTATTTTACAATGTTGTAAGATAATCACTTTTTCAAAAGAACACAATCAAATACTACAAAATTTTCTGCATAAAAATTCGAATATACTCCGATACATATGATTTTGTATTTGACTCTCTAAATTATTGAAATATATTCTTAATTACATATTGGAATTAGATCGTGTCAACTGGAAGTTCATAGACTCTGCCTACCATTTTGGGTGAATCTTTATTTAAATAAAATAGTTTTAATAACATATTTTTATATATCTTACCAATAAAGATATTAATTAATTTGCAACCTTTCGCTAACTAAATACAATGATGTGTCTTACCTGGATTGAAGAGCACCTCCCACCGTCCCTCAATTGCGTGCACCAATCCCGTCACCACTACTCCCTCGGCACTACTACTCCCAACACCAATATTCCAGGTAAGACACACCATCGACGATAATGCGACACGTGTTTCGCCTCTACAAGAGGCATCCTCTGGTGAAGTATACTCTACGGCGGCTGACCGCTAAGAAGGTCGGAAGAAGGTTGCAAATTAATTAATATTTTTATTATAATGGATTTCCGCAAAGTAACGCCTGATTCCATCAATTATATCATACCAAATTGAAGATGAATAACCGCTTAGTCAAGTAGAATAGATTTATATTCCATTTGTAACGACATGGTGCTAAACAGATCCATAAAATATAACTGGATATAGTTATTTTGTTACGAAAATTCAATACAGTAAATTAACGCTTTAGTATTTTCTTCAAGTGATACAATTGAGAAGCATTTGCGTCATCGTGTCAATTGAGAATGATTAGTAAAATAAGAACAATAGACAATTCAAGAACAAAAAAGTACAAGCAATTTAATGAATTCACCGTATAAAATGATTGACGTCAAAACATTAGGTACTGATAAGCACGCATAACACGGAAGGATTCGAAGTAAATCATATTTGTACTCTGAAGTGACCGTTTTAATATCTACTGCAAAACAACGTACTACAAATTGTTAGTTTCGAGGTCTAGGTATACTGTGATTGTGCCCATGTTGAGACATGTACTCTTCATCTTAGTATGGCTCCGATCTTATCGCACAAGTGAATTATTTTCTAACGTGTACACTTAACACAATCATTTTTCATATGCATTTGATTGCAGTACACAGTTTTTGAAAATTTGCCTTATAATCGAATCAGCGGGCATCTATGGGTTATAGTATACTGTTCATACAGTACTCCTTGATAGATAATTATTATATTGAGTACTAAAAATTGAAACAATTTTCTCCATAGATAAGGTTTAATATAATTATAAGTTGCTTCTAAAATGCTCGTTAGGTCGTTGTTCATAAAGTGTATCTTGATTCTTCAAGTTGAGAAGCGATCAGAGCGTTTTAACGACAGAGGTAAGACCGAGTGACATTATTTTACAACATGGAAATGTATGGAAAAGTTTAAAATTTTTATATTTTTATCAGCTCTTATTTCTAGCTTATCTGGCTTTCTTTTCTTTGGAGGAATAATATGCCGTAATTGTTTAGTTTGTCAAGCGATTGGCACTTTTGACTCTGAATAAACCCAAAAGTCCCAGACCTCATCTGGTTCTGAGATTGTGAATCTGTATTCTGGTCGTGGTGATTCTGGTTAAACCTTCCTACCAAATAGGCCCTTGTCCACCAGTGGATGATAAAAAAGAAAATTAAGAAGACAAAGTGCAAGAATCTGCCTGGAAATTCGACTGAATTGTTGCTTTCTTGACTATTACTGCCGGCAAACAACAGTGCGATTACACTTTGACACTGCGATCCGTTTGCAAGGCGTCTAGATTAAAGCATATTCTTTTCATTACGGGGGAGCCCAGTGAAAATGATCATAGACTGATAAATAATAAGAGTTGTGAACTACGAAATCAAGACGAGCACGTAACGCATACGTAATTTATAGTAAATAAACGCTGTCGCCATCATTGTCAGCCATAAGTACAGACCTTACCGGTAAAAATACATTCTCAGTGTCATTAGCGACTAAACCCTAGATGGTAAATCGCACTGTCTTCGCATAACAAAAGCTTGTTCACTCGTCTTAAAGATGCGCAGTTTGTAATCAAACCTTTTTAAGGATTACCTCGTTTTGTTTGGTTACTCTGCTGTAAAACTAAATTATCGTTTTTTTTCCTTTGGTAACGGGCTCATACAATTATACTTTTGCCAAAATCAAGTAATAGGAAATATCCTTTATAGTGATTTGTTCAAAACTTCTCCACAATATGTTAATGCATCATATTGTTTTTTGGAAGAATACGACGACAGCTTAAATCAGCAGACAGTCGATGACATAGAATACTATAATGTACAATAGAATAGCTGTCAGCCTTATTTTGTACGAGGATCGGTGTCGCCGGGAACACACATACAAGTAATTACGTCATATTATCACTACTACGAACCCGATTCGCTGTATTGACAGACTGAGCGAATTTACACATTTTAGACTTTTGATTAAAGTTTTTGATACATCAATATATTTCTTTATTTTTGTTTCTAATATTTACAGAATACAAATAGTTTCGACTTACTGGTTGTGATGTCTTTTATTTAAATTTTATTTCCCACTGTTCTTTCAACACGTAATTATTGCATAATCTCCATCATCTCCATCTCAATCCATTTTTAATTAATTTGCATGCAGCGACGCTTGACACGAAAATTGAAAACGATTGATTGTATTGACATTTATAGGTCTGAATTGACATGTTAGTAACATATTAGTGGCTACACGGGCTCCACCTACTCCGCCGTTCTATTATGTATGTATTAAAGTATTCTATGGTCGATAATGATAGTATATTAAGTTAAACGATCAAAAGGAGATGAGAAACACGAAACTTTTATTAACATCAGAGGACTTGTTACGATGTTTCCACACATAGTTTACATGCGCAGACAATACACAACAAGTGTTTTTTATTTTTGTACTAAAGATAATTATATGCTACGTTTTGCTACATTTTTATCCAATTCTATGAGAGAAAAAGAGAGAGAGAGAGAGAGAGAGAGCTATGTTAAAAAATCAAGTCTCTAGCTCATCGGGAAGTTAGTTTAAATCAATTACTAAAATCCATCGGAACAGACATACACGACAATGAAGCGAATAAAAATGGATTTAGAGCGCATTGTCGTCATTAAGTTGTGAGCTAACCTGAAAGTTTCAGCCGGATAGCTAATTGGGAAGTGCTCGAAATTTGAAAAGCAAGATTCCACCGGGAACGATATACAGACAGACAGACAAACAAGAAAGTAAGTTAATAAAAACATCGTAAAAATCGTACCACTTTTACATATTGAAATCTACTTCCAACCATTCTATAAAGGATACAACAGGAGCAACAATTCGCGGGCAGTTAAGTTTCCGCCAATTCTCTAAATTGGACCGTGTTTTGCAAAAATGATCCAACCCACCAACTCCTTTTTCAATTTATTTCCAAGTATAAAAGTCCTTTGAAATATAACAAGTAGTCCCAAAATCTACATTAAATTTTCTATTAAATGATATATTTAAAATGTAAGCTTTATCATTGCATGCATTTAATTTCAAATCTGAATAACTTTATATTTTTGTGGGTTGGGTAATTTTTGCACATTACGGTCCAATGAGGACATTCACGACTTTTTCTACCACCAGGGCGGCGCCACTTTGTTATTAGGTGAAAAATATTTGACAGATTGCATATTGAGGGAAGTTAATTTGTTAGAAAATTATAACCATTAATATTTATTTTTGAAATAATAGTTATTAGTTATATTTTACATGAATTAGATTACTAATCTGTAAACCAAAAAACGATACTTTTAAAAGATGAATAAAAAAACAACAATTATAATTAAATCGGAACTGTTCAATGATGAAGACACTGTAAACATCTGTGTAACAAAGAAGTTCATTTTTTTAACTAGTGGCATTTGTTGATCGTCAGATTACTAGCTCACATAATCGGTATTATCCGCACGTTCTATCTTGGCCGGGCGGAAGTTAGTCGTGAGTGGCTGTGCAAATATAGTTTTTAGGAACAAATCAGCGAAAAAAGGATAGAGTGGGTGGGCGGTAACTAAAACTAGAGGTTACAATTATGTAATAATGTATTAAGTGCTGGGTGTACGTACTTGTGCTTGGCGGCGGCGGAGTGCGGTCGCGCGGCGGAGGAGGAGGCGGCGCGGCGCGGCGCAGCGGGCGGCGCGGCGCGCCCGTACGGCAGTGACGACGGACGCCGCGCCGCGCCCGCACCCCCCGCGCCCCACGCTGCGCCGTCCACGCGCGACGTCCTGCGGGCACGCGCCAGCTTTACTACTCAGTACCACACCCAGCCCAGCATATCCCAGCGATTTGTTCTCATAACATCCACAACCAAAGACGTCTATGTATATTACTAGACCGGCAATTCAGAACATAACTGTCAACGTTATTGTTCAAAATTTTCGTTAAAACGTTTTGTAAAAGTTACATACAATAAAACCTAGCAACTTGTCACTTTTGGAAAGACTTAAATTCTAGAACCAATTTTCCAACAAAAATGGTAAGTTCTCTCATACTAGGCATCAATGTAAAATGTGACATTATATTTTTCATAGATTTAGTACGTATTTATTAGTGATTTTAAAAATACTATCATTAAATAGACAAAATATTAAATAATATAAAATGACAAAGTTAAACTTTCTTTGCAACCTTGTCAACAGGCTTTTAATGAAAATAATAGAATTTGACTTTTAAGTATGTTTTCCACATTGTACATGTGTGTATAATATACAGAGAATACACGAGTTATGATTTGCTTTTTTGATTGTGCTGCAAATAACAAGGTTTGCTTTTGGCTAGTGGCATATTTGCTCCGCCATTATTCAACTTTTTCATACAAACTTGAAAATATACCTCTTATAATAAGCCAAAAATACATTTCTAACCATTATTACAACGGAATACATCGTCTAGAAGTGCAACACAGTACCGTAGTTACGAAACTATTGCGATTTAATATTAAAAAATAATACTATAAAATCACTAAAACCGGCCATTTCAACGTCATTTTTACCTGTATTTGAATATTAACATAAAGACTATTATTATTATTTTATCAAAAATAGTAATAATAAAAATAAAAAATCCTAATTTTTAGCTCATTTTTTTTACTCAATTATTTTATACGATTATTTTAAAAATACTACAAATCAATGCGCACAAAGACTCAAACGCAGTCCGATCAGCAATTAGTGTTCTCTCGCTCGCAGTCAACTAAAAGAGTTTCGGATAACTGACCGTAACTTACTGCGCTATTTAAGTTGTAAGTTTAGTCTTGTAGTATACATAAAAGTCTTGGTTCACATCATTCTTGACACTTAGGTAGTGCCACTAAAAATGAAGTGAAATTTTTATGTAATAATTAATTTTTAGGTAATAGTTACGAAATTATAAAGGGTGTCTTTTTGAAAATAGATGTGACATTTTATATTAATCTGATTACAATGGATAAATGAAACTATGTACGTATATTCCTAGAAGTAAAATAATTAAAAAGCGAGTTAAAAATGTGCATAAAATCAAAAACAACCGCTGGAGGCATTGTTTTTTGTATTATATAAGTAAATACACTAAAATCGAAAAAAAATTTGAAACGCATATTTTTACCTGTGGTGACACTATACAACAAATAATTTTATCTCAGCGACAACTAGCGACACCTGGTGAGCGTAAAACTATAAGTCCTCTTAACAAGTAAGCATGAAGGCACCAGCGTTAATATTTCATTCATTCCTTGCAACCTACCGAAAGTCCACTGGTCTCTATAATTAAGGGAATATTTGCATAGTTGCCACGCTTGCCAGGTGGATTTGAACCGTAGTGTTTTATTATCAGGAATATGCTGCTGCCCGTCTTCTGTTACATTTCCTTCTGTCGCTTCTTACACCTCTCATCTCATCATGTGGAGAATGATATGGGATAGATCTCACGGTTGGCCAAAATAGGACAGTAAGTCATCAAAAAGTACCTACGTTTATAGAGTATAATCTACACTCAAAAAGGGAAAATACATAATAGAGAAAATGTCATCATGATTTGAATCTGCCTCATTACACTTTAAAAATAAACTTTAAAACTATTGGTATGGTATTACTATTCTACTATTGTAACCTTCTTCCCATTTAAAAAAAAACGGGACAAATATTTGTTCCCTGTCTGTACGCTACAGTTCATGTACAATATATTTATATTTATTAAAGAAAATGCCACTGACTGACAAGAACGGATTTTACGAAAGTTCCATGAAAAAAAAATTAATTAGTTCCGCAATAAAATATTTTCGTGCGCCCTGCGCAGCAAGCGGGTATCAGCTAATATAACTATAGAACGCTAGAAATACAAAAACTATTTAGGAACAAGTTAAATACCTCAAATTCTTTAGTATCTATGCGTGTTAGTCTGCCCTTTTACAATTTACAACAGATCAGTAAGAGGCTATGCTCTTCACTAGCAATCGGTCACGTAATAAATAAGATTTATTTTGTATGCCTGCAGCGGTCCAATGTAACTAAAATTGCGTATTCCTTTCACACCGCATCACTCGGCATTCGCTTTAGCTGAGCTGAGTCAACTAGAGTCATTTCTGCCTAATTAGACGAAAAATACAACACTAAAATCATGTGTCAGTGTGGGCTAAACGGATCATCATTAACTGGTAAGCGTTGGAGTTGATTTATTGTACATTTTAATATAAACACAAATAACGAAAAACTAATTTAAAACGTAAACACAGCACGATTTGGACGAATTTATTTTAAGAGTACAATGCAATAGTTATAATAACAACACAATAAGTGTAGACTATACACTTATTGTGTTGTTATTGTGTGTAATGAGGTAGTTTTGCAAACTTAATAATAGCTACTATTATCATGAATTGAATTAGTTTTTTTTTATATGAATGAATGAAAAAAAACAAAGATTAGTTTAATAACATTAATTTTAAGAAAAATAAACGTATTCAAAATATAAATAAATTGACTAAACTCATTGAAGTATGTATAAACATGCTGTTAACCAATGTTAGCAGAAAATCAGCACACCATGTTAGTCGTGTTAATTCTGTCCCATTTAAATATACATACGGTAATTTCTTAGCATTGGACGTGTTTTTAGCAACAGCGTCGATTGCTTTTGTCACTCGCGATTTGTTCGCGATGTTTTTCCTCTCCGGCCTCTCTTGCGTCACTCGGGAACTATGTGCGTATATAGTAAAGCGATTACACGACGGAATTTAAACACAAAGGGCTTTATTTTCCATTAAATATAACTGTCCTTATGTACAACCTATGTGACAAGTTCATATTATGTAAAATCATCTCATACGGAATGTTTGGTCACAAATAGATCGTTGTTAGCTCTTTTACTTATTGTAGCAATAAAATATTATACATACCAAAATGTTACAACGCTATTCAATTATCTACTCAACTAATTTTGGCTTTTAAATATAAAGCATATAAAACATAACTACATAAAAATCTGCTTATTACTTTAAAGTTTAGACCAATAAAGAAAGGCACCTATACAGAACGCACGATATACACGATAGACACGCACTCACGCACACTGTAATATCTGCATCTTACGTCATTTGCACCAACAAAGTGGCTTTAGTTGTGTATCTGCGCGTCCAGCAGTGGACGTGGAAGATGTGTGCGTAAATGCGAAGAGGGGAGAAGTTAAGCATGGTTTCGACATCACTTGCAATTATTTAAAGTGTTCGGTCACCTTTTTTGGTCTAAGCGCATTGCAACTAATTTAATGACCCAAAAAATATAGGTACATCAGAGTGCAAATTATTCTAAAGCACAAGAAGAGTGAAGTGTCCACCACCAAGTACTATCTACAAAGAGTTATTCTTAGTTTACAAAATAATCACTCTCTATCCAACATAAGAAAGTCCTTTAATAAAACAAAATTTACTCACTTTATCATATTTAATTGTAACTTATTTTAACTCTTTTCTGGCTTTAGAATTTTGCGACGCCCATGGTCACGTGTTGCGTAATTAGTAAAATAATAATTAATTAATAATTATTTAGTAAAATAAACGTAATTTTGATTATAACATTCTTAGAGTAATTACTTATATTTACTCTGAGAAAACATTACATTAATTTAGGTACTTTTTATAAACAAAATGTCATTCTAGAACAATAATAAGGTTGGACTTTCTGTGCTGAATAAAGAATTACTGTGTTCGGTCATTCCTTTCTTTTCTTTCAATCACATAATATGTTATTTATAGATTATAAAGTACTTTATTTGCGTTTTACCTATTAGCTGGCTGAGGTGGTTTCTTTGTATTAGGTGTCCCTCGAGTTGAAGTTGACCGAGGAGTAGATGTCGTGGGTGATGCGCCTTTACGGACAGGAACCGGGATACCACTGCAATAAATCAATGTTAAAATAATTATTAATTTAGAATTAAATTTTAAGATTGCGCGATATAAATGAGATAGCGCATATATATCATTATATAACATTAGAATAAATATATCATTAGATTCCTTAGCCAATTATGTGATTATTTTCTATGCGGTAGAAGACCGATTTCGTTGTTGTTCAAAATATCTATTATTATAGTGCAGTGGGGTTCAAATTCCCGGTGAATTACGCTATATTTTTGAAACCTAGCAATATGGTACAAGACTCCATTTTATTCTGCCCTGACCCCAAGTTTCAGCCAGTCGCTCCGAGAAGTAGGGCGTGTGCTGCGCAGTATTTTATAAAACAAGGTAATTTTTGTATTTTTTTCGTCCGTCCGGTCTTTCCCTATCACTTTTATTTACGATTTTTAGTGACGTCTGGTCTTACCCCTTGATGGCCAATTCTTCATCATTCATATAAAAAATTATGCCTTGTCTTCGCACACGTTTTAAGCAGAAACTGTTGAGTTTTGAAAAGTAAAAGCTTCTTATAGCTAAATTACGCGTTACAATTAACGATTTGCGCCTTGTTTCAGAAATCTGACGTATATGGATGTCGAGAAAATAAAGTTTTTGCCCGACTCTTTTAACTAGTCAAAAATCGTCCGGTATTACCCCAACGCACTTACATGTCAGAATTCAAAATGTCTATTACATGTACGCAGTAATATAATAAGTCTATGATTATATGTTAGAATTATTTAGACTTTTCAAAATTTTACTCTTCATTCGACTTATACTCTACATAACGACATAAATCACAAAAGAACGAAGAAAACAACCATGCCAAACACAGACAAAATCCACGTCAAATAATACGTCTATCGTCCTGCGAGTATGCCAACGCTGCGGCTGGCGAGCGGCCAGCGCGTGCCAGAGTTCCAAAAGGTCGCATCTGGGTTGAATGGTCTTAGGTCGCATCCAATTCTGAACTCAGTTTATACATAAGTGTTGAGATATTAATATTATAGTATTGTGGGAGAAATACAGAATCGATGAAAAAGTTAGAACACATTAGGACAGGAAGCTTTGTGTATAAGTTTTAATGCTCGTTGCTTATATATTAAGTTTAATTATTTTAAGCCTGGTAAGAGTAAAAAAAAGTTAAAAAAGGTATCGTGTGTACCTTTTATCTTGTCCAAATATTCTGTGGCAGTTTGACAATTTGATAATTTCTTGGTGACCTATTTTCTAACCACAATATCGTGTTATCTTTTTTCTATAATATTCACTTCCTTCGATAAAATTTACCGCTATCAACAACTTTAATTTATTTATAGCTAACAGACCAGACACTGACCAAAGTCATTTTGATTAAAAAATGGCACTTCTACTATATATCGTTAACAAAGAGATTTAAATATATACTACTACATACTTAAATGTCTTTGATCGTTAAATAGTGAAACTGAACACTAAAAAAGTAAAGTTACAATTAATATGGGTCCCATAGTTGGGCACAGGCCTGTTATTTCTAAAAGTGTAATGGAGAAATAAGCCCACCGCGGTACTCCGGAGTTTATCAGTGATTTTCACAAAATATTTTATTTCTCAAATATGCAAGTTCCTTCACCGCCGAGAATGTTTAAATCTGGAATTATTGCGATCAACAATTTTATTTGTGCTGGTTGTTAAAACTTAGTTTCTTCTAGTACTCCGTATTTACGGCAAGCGCTTGAGCTACTAGTACTATGATTAACTTCAATAAAAATAAATTTATCTACGCACGTTTCTCTCGCAAAAAGCTAACAAAATTTAAGGACAAAGAATTTCTAGTGTTATATTTTTTTTTTTTATTTTTTTTTTTTTTTTTTTTTTTTTTTTTTTTTTTTTTTTTTTTTTTTTTTTTATAAATTTTTTTTTTTTTTTTTTTTTTTTTTTGGGGGGGGGGAGGGGGTTTTTTTTTTTATATTTATAAACCGGGGGGGGGGGCTTGGCTTTTTTGTTTCTTTTTTAATTTTTTTTTTTTTTTATTTTTTTTATATATATATATATATATATATATATATATATATATATATATATATATATAGTATTTTCCCATTAAAATAATATTTAATTAACACATTATGCTGTATAAAATATTCTTTATTCTTTCCTTTTTTAATTTTGTCATGCAATTTATCATACGTACACGTTTGGAACGCGAAATAGAACTTTTTTTAATAGAATAAGGGTGACAACCGAGCACACAGTCCACCTGATGGTAAGTGTTGCTTGGTGTGGCCTATAGACATCTATAACATCCTTACTTACGAATCAACCCTTTGGTTTCTTGCGTGTTCAGGCAACACTGGTATTCTGTGAGAGCGTGGTCCTTCCCCAGTCGAATTGACCCATTCGTGATATACGATACTAATAAAATAGCTCCAGCATGGCTCTATCACGAAATATACTAACTTCTAAGTTGACTAATTAAAACATCAGTCATAAGAAAGGACGTTTTCTTTAAGAATAGAGAATAAAAATTCTCAAGTACATTCTCAATAAATTATTCTGGTGTTGTGATTGAAACAAAAAATTCGAGTAGTTCACTGACTGGAAGTTGGAGTTAAATAACTGTAAATATGTAAGACTTTTTATTATTATTTTTTGTTACTGTGACTTACTCGTACATAATTATTTTTCGCTACTATTATTTAATCAATCAAAAAATCACTCAATCCAATGCCGTGGGTATTGTAAGAGGCGGCAGACTTCCTTGTTACAACTCGTAATAAAAAGACTGCGGTTGCTAAATCGCTTGACAAGCGTGGCAACTATGGCAAATATTTCCTATATAAAGCAATCAATGGGAGAGCCCTATATTCAGGGTAGTAGGAGGTTAAAGTTTTTAACGAATGAATGAAGTCAATGAACTAGCAATGCAACCTCCTAACATTTTTTTCATCGTCGAATACATAGACTACCTACTGGCACAGAATAAATAATAGTACTACGTCTATTATTAAACTATTTTTTCTGTTGTCTTTGTTACTATAATTAAAAAAGTAACAAAACTTATAAAATTTGACGAACCGATAGGTAATTTTTGCGAAATTGAGAGTGAAAGAAGTTATCAGTCTTATATAATAAATAATTCTTATGATTTACCGTTGCGTGTTTTTAGCTGGCGAAGCCATGTTCGGTGCTTGCGGACGTACTGGCGACGATACTGGCCTCGGGATTTTCGAGCCTCGTGTTGTCGCTGGAGACGTTTCCCCTGGGGAAATATTAATAATTAATAAATTAGTGTGTAATTAAGATATGCAATACAAAATTTAATGAACCAGAGATTACAATAGCAAGATAATTAAAATGTTTACACATAATTACGGCTAAATTAAATAACGTGTTCATCATTAGTCTTAGGAACAAACAAGATAAGTTGGAATAGTAAGAATATGGTGACAATAGATAGAAATACGTCAATACAATATACTAAACAATACTGGAGGGTATAACTACTGGTACGTGGTGAAAGGACGCTGTAAAGCACTCGAAATGACGAGAATTAAAAATCTTCAAAAAAGCGGTATAGTCCGTATAATTATTAATTAGTTGAATTAAATTCAAATGCATTATCATTTATCACCTAGGAGCTGAAAACTAATTTGTAATTTTTAAAAACGTTACGTTTTATGAAAGTTATATAACAATTTTTCATCGTGTATAGGGAAGTACATACAGTTTATTTTGCACATCATTAACATGCTACGGTCACCTGTTGTTCTTCCGATTATAGCTGCCCAAAGCGACGAAAATAGATTCACCAAACGGTTAGTAAAAAAAAAATAGTTGCAAGACATTGAACTTTTAATAGCAGTTGGTTCCGGACACAAAAAGAAATTGGCCAACAAAAGATAGTGCCAACCATGTCTTTACATTTATAAACAATAAAATAATTTCAACAGCTATACAGTTTTAACTTGTTATAGAACTTTTATACATCGACAATTTGTAAAACAATGGCAACGAAAAGATTAATAAATAATATTATTTGGTCTCCCAAGTTATCACGCAGGGAATCGTCTCCTTCAAATATCATATGACAGAAACGTTTCAGATTTGGCACCTCTTTTATTGCCGCATCTTTAAATAGCGAAAATAAACAGTAAAAAATTGAATTTACAATCAATGTAGGTCCCACAGCTGGGAACAGGCCTCTTATTTCTGAAAGTGTGATGTAGAAGTGAGTTTATCTGTGATTTTCACTTAATATTTTATTTCCCAGATATGCAAGTTCCTTCATTGTCGAGAATGTTTTAAATCTGTTAGTATAACTTATTTTTCTTACCTGGCATTATATTTTCTACGTCTGGTTGGAATGATTTTGAAATTAAAAAAATGAGAGAGTTTTAACTGTTTAGATTATTATCACCTGAGGGCGTTCCTGGACTTTCGGCAGTGCTGAGCATTTCCCACTTGAGCTGCAGTCTGCGGAACTTGCCGCCTGAGTTGCCAGCATTAGCGGAGTTATTACTAACATTGCCGGTGTTACCACTCGCACAACTTCCCGCTGAACCAGGTCGCCATTCCTCGCCGCTACACTCCAACTGCAAATGAGTATATTTGAGAAACATTGTATATTACTTTTAATATGTTGAGTATACAATTATATTATGCACACATTTATACTTATATTTATTATAATAATTGTATCCACAATAACAATTACTGTTCTTCTAGAACAGTACAAAATCTGTAGTTCATTTCGGGGTTTATGATTAATTATAATAATAATTGAAAAATTAATATTGCACCTTACATAACATGGATTTATATATTTTGCCATTAATAGAGTTTGTATGGATATAACTTAATATACATAAGTATTATGTATTTATGAAATTATATTTTAATAAAACATGAACCACAACTTGTTTTCGAGAAATTTAGGATTTATTTTATATTACGGTCATTCAAAATCGAATGAAGGTAGATGTTGAAATTAGTTGGCACTACAATTTAATAGGGATGTTTTACGCTAAGGAAAAGGTAAAGGAAACTTCCTTTCACTAAAATAATTTAAAAAACATTACGTTTACTTTGTAAATATATCAATACTTAATACACTTATTTTAAACTACACTAAACTATTACCTAATCAATCATATTGAGCTACCTATTTCTGAGAAACATAATCAAATGTTTTAGAGTGCGTCACCAACAATGGGCATAGCGTGTAGATTAAGCACACCAGTTATAAGTATGTTAAAGAACAAATGAATAAGTACTTAATAATACCATACGTAAGACATTTTTACAAACATAAAACACGCACAACTAGTACCAACAGACAACGTTGCGCTACAGTCTACAAAACGATGCAAAAAAAAACACCGTTGCACACTGAAAGCGTTTACTTGTCGCAAACAAAAAAAATGCCTATAAACAAAACATAAGGTCGCTACAAAACGAAGCACACAAAGTGTTTCCGACACAGGCCCACAAGTTTACCTTAGGTTCAATCCCGGCTTTAGTGGAGGGCTTGTTATTCTCTAAGCTATCGGTGTAATCGTCGCTGTCGTCTAGGATAAGCCGGTCAAAGGCCTGCATTAGCTTCGAGCCGAGTTGCACTCCCGACCATCTCCGATTGTTTTCTAATTCGATTCTGCTGTTACTCGGACAAATATCGTAGCCGATCGTCGTTGGATTGACGCACGATCGCGGTCGGTTTTTCTCAACGGTTGTCTTTACATTGGCCGAATCATTCAACAAGTCAGGAGTGGACGGTTCTCTATTTTTCGGCTCTTTGTGTCTCATAATTACGCTCGTAAGACAATCGTCGCTCGACAACCCGCTGGACTGCATCGATCGGACCAACTTTAGCAGATTCCGCTGATTCAGTGTTAGTGGTGGGTTGTTAATCGCAGAAGGCTGTTAAATATATCAAAGTACGCTTTAAGTTCATGCATCATGCCGTCGATTAGTCAATCTAGTCCTTGAAACGTTATCGTTTACTGTCCGTCTCTTTATTTGCATTTTATGAAAGCTGTGCACGACAGTGAACGGTTTTATATAGACATTGCATTGGTGATATAGTGAACCGTAAGCACATGCAATAAATAAAATGCAAATAAAGCGATGTCTGCTCAATGTCAATATCAATGCAAATGACATGTACTTACCTGGCGAAATTTTGAATTGAATGTAATATATTATGATAGTGTTATATATATTGAGAGCCTTTAAGTTTTATTATAACTATGGTATAACTTACTCGGCTGGCGGCTCGCATTTCGCTTTCGATCCTCTTGAAGCTTCTATGAAGTTCTCTCATTTCGAACATGAGGTCTAATGAGAAGGGTAATAGCTTCAGAGGTTCCAAGCTAGCCAGTAGTGTGTCCAAAAGTGCCCTGCATCGCGGTTCGCCGATACAGCCAGCTAATATAATCGAATCCGGGCCATAATGCTTAGACAAAATAGACTCCCTCGTTCGCACGTAGGACACCCATGCGTCGACTGTCTGCGCACTGTAAAAAAAAATTCGTTATTTTTAATTTTTTATCATTAAAAATCGATAATTTTTTAATTTAAGAAACTTACTTAAGAAGTCCCAGAATAAATGCATTGAACTTAACAAGCCCTTCCGTTACGGCGTCTTCACTGTTTATTCTTAATACTAATTCATTAAGCGACTTCGTTATCGGACCTGGAATAATAAATGGAATATTTTTTGTAATTCTTACTGGTTGCGATTAGTTTAAAAATTATTAAATTATATTTTGTTACCTTGTCTAGCTGTTGCTTCCACCATTTGCCAAACGGAGTTGTTCACGGCCCCAAATGAAGTTTCGATGCTCTCTTTCAGACCGTCTCTGAATATCGCGTATAATGCAGGGCACAATGCGTTAAGAGCTATCTTGGCACATGCTGGAGACTGTTTTGAATCCCCCAAGAAAGCCAACTCCGCTTGGTCGGTTGCAGGGGAGAAATGCTGTATAAGCATTTCCACCGCGTCCGTAACATTCGAAACGAGGGCTAAAATAAACGAGAGTATTTCAATTACAAACATAAAAGTGATACAATACAATATATACATAATATGCAATCGTTAACTAGACCTCTCTTTTGTGAAACGTCTATAACATCATACTTCGATCTCCCCTCGTGATGCGTCGTTGGATTACTAAATTCATCAGGACTCACTTCTGCTTCTTCACAGATTGGTATTTCGGCTAAATTCTTACCCTGAAGCAACATAAAAATGTGGATAACATTATCAAAACATTAGAATCAATACATACACAAAGCTGAAAATGAATAAAGCAAAAAAAAAAAACAAAAGAAAGCAATGATTTAAATCAGAAATAACAGAATGTGACAACAGCTAGCTTCCCACAAAAATAACTGAAATAACTAAAAATATTGAAAAAAAAATAACTAAGGATACTCACGGAACTTAACATGTAAGGTGCTGATAGACAGAATGGAACGTTACAAAGGAAATATTACCTGATAGTGTCTCTGTGTTATAGCAGCAGAGATATTAGGCGAGTTGGGTGGGGTCGAGAGACATCCTACTTTAAGTTCATCCATAGATTTAAGTTGAGTCTGTGTACCATCAACCTTTGCATCAGACTTTTGTGCAAAACTAACTGATTTCTTGCTGTTGTAGCTACTTTCGCTAGAATCTGTCGACCTCTGATTCTCTTCTTGAGATCGTTTCATTTGCAGGAACTTGGTGACCTGATTCCTTACCTTTTGCACTTGGTTCTGGTCCCATTCATCCATATTTTGGCAGTTAAATCCGCTTTGCTTGAGGAATTCTTCTAATTGTTGTAGATCGGCACTGCTGATTAATGCACCCGGGGGCGGGAAATCAATGTACTCCATTTTCTTTGTTCTAGGCTTAGGCATCGGTGGCGTAAGCGGCCGGTTGAATTTTAACTCATTAGATTTCCCTGATTCTAAACTGCTCTCAGTGCCGACACCTTCATCTTGATAATACTCGTTGTAATCTGCATCTTTATCTGCTGCATCAAGGAACTGTTGCGATAGTCTCTTTGCTGCTAAATCATTGTTCTTTCTATAATCAAAATTTTGATTTTGCAAATAGTAAGGTTCTTGAAGGGACCTCCTTTTTGTTTTTTGTTCTGTCATAGCTGTTGCGCAAACAGTAGGGCCCTGCATAAATTCATCTAATTCAAACATGCTATATCGCTTTGTGTGTGCGTTCGATTTTCGAGTTTTATCTATCGATTTGCGTAATATACTCTTTGGCAACGGTGGTCTTGGTGGCACTAACTCACTTTGTTTTGCCAATCGAGTTTGATCAGCCAGGGAGAGAGATCTTTTTGGTATCGAAGGGTTATTTCTCTGACCATCGTTATTTACGCAGCTAGCTTCTGAACTAGTGGCAGAATCATAACGATATACAAACAATGGGTTGAAATTCCCAACAGGAGCTGGACTGTTTTGCGCTGAAGAATCAGTAAGCATTGTAGATGAACCTCTGTAGCCTGAAGACGGTTGAGTTGCTGTACTCGAGCTCGATGACACCGCAGTTGTGTTTCCTGCCAAATTGTTACAATCACAACTCAATGGTCTGTTTTTAGCTTTAGAGAAAGGAGATGCACTACAATATCTATCAGTACATTTCGACATACCTTCTTTTTCCTTCATGTGCTGCATCAATTCAGGCATTTCAGATAAAAGTTGTTTACATTCCAAAGGTAGTAAAAAGTTGAGGGAGTCCCAGTCCTTGATGTGACCCAGACCTTTTTTCTTCAACACTTCTACATCATTACATGAAAAAGGTCTTTTTCCTTTAATTTGCATCTTACTTCTCTTGCTCTCCGTTGATTTCGGTGATATATTTACTTTTAAAGGATTTAAGTAAATGTTTGGTCTGCCATTTAAAAAGCTGATATCGGGCAGTGTATAGTTAGGATATAAAACGAAAACTGGTTTCTCACAATCTCCTTCTTTTAGTTTTTCTAGAAACGAGGGCTCTATGACTTTAAACAATTCTCGGTCATGTGACATGGTTGATACATGCATACTCGAAGTTTGCATGCTCTTGTCTAGCGTATCATTTTCAAGATGAGTAGATGTTGCTTTAGTATCAAACGGTTCCTTTTGCGCAACTTTGTTCATTCTAGTTATTTGCGTGCCGTCTGATTCTGAGCAACTCGAAATGCTTACACTTGTTGCAGAAGATTGAGAAGAGCAAGACTTTCTAGTAAGTCTCATATTCGAAGGGCTATTTACGTTTAAGTTCATTCTTCTGAAGTGTGGCTTATTTATAACGGCGTACAGATTAGATTCACTATCGCTTAACTTAGTGCCATCACCAGTTTCTTCTTCTTCGATTAATACTTCTTTAGAGACTCTGCTATAGGTATTAGTTGGCCTTATCTCCTCGTAAACCTCTGATATTTCTTCGACTTCATCATTAGGTAGTTCTATTTGTGGCCTTTTGAAATCTTCTGTTTTATTTTCTCCCATAGACTCTCCGCTTTCACCGCCAGAACTTGAAGGCCAACATTCTGATCTATCCAACTGATCCATGGTAACGATTCCATCATTACTTGTACTTTTTTGTTTCATAAATAATTTTACCAGGTTAAAAGATTGTTTTGGTTGACTTTTGTCTGATGAAGTATGATTTTCCGTCGAGGATGTGCTCATAGGTTCTGAGTGTTGACTTCCATGAGAGGATCGGTTTTGAGATACATCGTATACTTTCATACATGTTGATGTGCCTGTTAGCCTCTGATTGGTGGTGAAAGAATCGACCTAGAAACGAAAATGTGTTAAATAGGTACAGTCACGAGGCGGTTAAACAATTATATGATCCATCAAGGCATTTAATTAACGTTAATGCAATACACACCGTAGAGTTGCTTAGTGCGGCTGATGCGATCGAGCTGTTCATGAGCTTTCTTCTATAAAGATTTGGCAAACTTTGGCTTTTAATAACTGAATTATTCATTTCACTTGTTAGATTATTGGTATCATTTGAGTCTTCATTATTGTTACCGGATGGGTGCCTTTAAAGAAAAGTAAATTTAGGGATAGTCGAATACGAACTGCTTGTGTTTATATTATTTGAATAAGGAGTTGGACCATACCTCCTTAACGGGGACTGACTGGTTTGTTTCTTAAGTTTACTCCACGTTGTTAATCCTAAATCACTTCTAGCCATAGACGTAGTTAGTTTATTTGTCAATTTCTTACATCTCTCTAATAATTCTAAATTCCTGCGCGTTCTTTCATTACTCTCTGTAGCTACGTTAATTTCTTCTTTACCGTATTTGTCTGCAAAGATATGAGGCGAATTAGCCGTAAGCTTACCATAATAATGTGGAATTTCGTTTCGTCATGTAATTAGTAAACATTGCATCATTGTGATCATATCTCGAGAGAATAAGGTTTTAGAGGTAAATATTAATGACACTATATTTTGATAAATTATGAGTAAATAAGTTATCTTCACATATTTTCCACAACATATTATCTATGTATCATATTAATAAATAAGGTTATCAATATCAAACTGTGACTAAAGCTATATTAACCACTCCTGAGAAAAATATATTTTTAAATATTAGAAGACGAAAATATTTTTAAAAGCATAATTTGAGTGATTTCATATATTATATACACGAACACGTCACATTATTATTTTATATTTCTGAAGTTTCGAGCACTTTACAGAACCCATGGTCATGGAGGGGGAGGAGGCTGAATTGGTCTAAAATCTGATGTAGTGAGGGGTGTCGATTCTTTAACGCATAGCTTATGTGAAGAATCGACGCTCCGGTATGTGAAGGTATCCATTGTTGACTATGACATTGGGATGAACGTTCCCCCTGCGTGACCATGGGTGCTAGCTGCTGGTAATGTTAAGTGCTCGAAACATCAGTAATATAAAATAAGTTAATATAGGCAATAAAATCCGTATTCTTATTATGTTTTGCGGAAGTTCTTAGGGGAGGCCAGTGTTTAGCAGGGAGCTTGTGATGGAACGTTAATACTGATTCAGATGATGATTTCAGTTAAATTATTCGTACAACTTAACTTTGAATAAGAAAACAGTAAAATAAAAAGTACCATGTCTTTGATTGACGGCTGGTTCGGCGCACTCACTGTCCTCGGAGTAAATGGTGACGCTGCCTTCAAAGGCTATAGTGTAGTTGTCCTTATTGGCCTGGCAGGTGAGGATAAGGTCCTGCTCCGTTGGCAACTCACAATCGAGACTATCCACGCTGAAGTGTACTCCGTGGCCGCCCTCCTTGACGGGCGAAAATAGGAGCTCCGATTTGCATATTGACATCGTGTTGATAGAACCAACGGACTCTTCACCCTATATGTGTTATCAAATATTAATACACAAAACAAATGTATTATGTATTTAAAGTTATTGAGAGTTAACTACAGGGCCAGATTTCTGAATCTAATTGGGTCTTTTTATAATAAGCTCTGCCCTTTGATGTCTCAGTAACTGTCGAAACATTTTTAAGTAATTTAAAGTTAGTTTAAAACATAAAGTGATATTAAAGAAGATTCTGGCATTGGTCTATCTATATGCGTGGGTGGGTATTTAAGTTAGTTCCTGGAAAGTTTCGAAACGTAAACGTGCATTAGTTGGAACATAAACATTCGCTTTACACAACAAGTGTTTTTGTACGACGGGTGAAGACAGAAAGCTAAAATAATGTGCTGCATTTTATTACACTGGCAAGTAAAAACAGATTTAATTTAAGAAATAACATTTCAAATAAAAATTTCAACATAAAAAAAACAGTTATAACATTTTTACGAAACCAAACTTGCTTAGTTCTATACCAATACTAAAACTGATTTTGTTTCTATACTATTGCAGCTCAGCGGTAAGATACTCGACTGCAGGGAAATGGGTACAGGATTTAAAGCCATAGGAAAGAGGCCGGGGACATATATTGGCTATATCATAATTATTTTTGGGATATTAATTTATCTTTGATTTACCTCTTTCCTATTTTGAAGTCAATACTTTAGACACTCCTGCATCTTTCATAAAAATTATTTCCAATTCCTAGTACCTAGTTACTTTAAGGTGTTTTGTATCCGACCGTAAGAACTTGACTGGTTAAGTTTATCAAGTAGTAATTTGCATTAGATACACTTAATAATGAGTACATTAGTTAGTTACTTGTAGCAATACGGGACGTAGCGACGCGGGGCGGGCGTTATCATCAATTTAATTCCTTTTCCTGCTACAATGAGGTCACAAATCAAACAACGACTCATGCAGTTTATAACAACGCTACATATTTCAATAGTATGCTCATTCTAAAAGAGTCATATAAAAAACACCCATAAATGTATTGTTCTGAATAATGCGGGTACTTTTTAAAAACAATTATCCTAGATTGGTTGTTATAGAATATAACGAAAATACTTCAGAGCTTTAACAAGAAAAGTGATGTAAATGTAAAAAAACATAATTAGTGTGTATACTAGTATTGATATTGTTGTAGAGTTATGGTAAAATGAAATATTCATATTGTCTTGACGCAAGGATACTTAGTATCATACATCCTTTTTAATCTACCACCCACTTTACTATTAAAAGAAATTTCATTGTTGGTAGCAGTAGTAGTACCCTAATGGATATAAAAATAAAACTATTATTATTATTACAGATATAATAGATATAACAATATGGTAAAAACAAATGTATGCTTAATAACATTTAACTCACTGAGTAGTATCCATTATAAGACTCCCAATCGTATTCGGTCACACCCATTTTTAATTTGTCCAGTCTCTAAAAACGTCTCTGAAATGTGCTCACTAAATGTTGATCTACTTCCTACGAATAGATTTTAGCCCTACACACTTTACACAATCTTCACACTGTCCTAAATAATAATCACATGGTCTGAAATTATTGCACTATCTCACGCACACACAGTTGTTTATAAGCTCTCGTATTGAACATGAATTTAAATTTGAAAAATCATATTTAATCGGATTCATTGCAGGGAAGCGCACGAGAACATCAATCCCGAAAGCCCGGTGCACTGCTACTGGGGCAGCGGGTATATTATGTTTAATATTAGCCACTACGCGTGGTTCTCAAACTTTTTAACACATTAAAGCTGTTGTTCAGTAAGCAACATTCTGTTTTTCAGTAACATTATGTTCAAAGTTCCAACTATAACTGCTACAAACGCGTTATCATATAGGCTATAATTAGATAGACCGAGGGCAATGAGTGGGAGAATAATTAACAAATTAACAACTGTTTACACGTGTTAAGTAAATAACAGATACTCTTGAAAGTAATTAGTTTATATTTTTTAAAAGTCAATGTTTAGATAGTAGTCTTAGAGAAAGAAGTTTGGGAACGGATGACAAAATGAATAGACTTCATTGGCAACGCACACATGGTGGCAGTATGTGCACGAATACATAGAGGGCGAATAAATATAGAACACGCGGACAAGCGCAAAAAGAAGGGAATGACTGTATGAACGGGGGAATAAAGAGTGTAGCTGAAATGATTGACTTTTTGTATTAGTGTGAACGATATACGCACATGACGCACACATGTGTTATGGTCTTATTTTATCTTTACTACTGGCTAGTGGCACATCCCGTGAGACCAACGTACTATGGGGTTACAAAATAGGAAGACTTGTTATTAATTCAAAACATGTATAACGTGGACTTACTTCCATTTATATATGTGTGAGCCAACACTCGATTCCATATATCCATTACTTCTGTGACTATATATTATATCGTGCTAATAATTATACGGTTAAAACACCTTTTTTATAGCTTATAATATTTAAAATATTTTATAAAAACAACATGCAAGTAAGACAGGGCTTCAGCTTGGTTCTGTTATATTAGTTCCCTACTTATAAAATTGGCATGTTGTAGAACTGGCTTTATGATCTCAAATATCTCACGTTTGGTTAAGAATTCCAAATACAAATGTATTTCAAATTTATTAGGCTTGTGTATTTAGTTTTCGAATTTAGCGATTCATTTGTTTTCGCGCCATTCGATTTTTAGTTAACATCGTTCTGTCACAATATGGAAAACTAAAAATATTGCGTTATTTACGAATACGAGTTCCACAGTGGCATCAACGTTGCAAAAACAGCTCGAGGGATTAATTATGTGTATGGGGAAGCTACAGTAAAAGAAAACACGACAAGTTTTTGGTTCCAAGGTTTTGGAAATTTCGATCTACAGAAAAAGCTCCGTGAACGGCCGGAATCTCTAGTTGACAATAAAGACTTAAAAGTGATCCTGGAAGCGGATCTATCGCAAACCACGTCAGAATGAACGGCAGACCTCCGTGCTAGTGATAAAATAGTTTTGATTCACTTGAAAACAATAGGAAAAGTGTAAAAGCTAATGTGTAAATCGCTCCTGTAAAAGCGCTTGGTAAATTGGGTACTGCATGAATTGTGTGAGGCACACCATCAAACACGCGCGTCGAGTGCTGCGTTACATTCCTCAACCGTCACAATAACGAGGGGTTTTTGAATCGTATCGTTACTTGTGACGAAAAATGTATCCTGTACGATAATTGAAAACGCTCATCATAATAGTTGAACCCAAGCGACACGGGAAAATCCTGCCCCAAGCGAAAGTTTTCTCAGAAAAAAGGTACCAGTAAGTGTCTGGTACTGGTAGGTGTGGGTATGCCGAGCCGTGGTAGCTAAAGCGTAGTAGACTAAGCGCTTGCTGTAAATTTTCACAGTACGCGAGCATCCCGGGTTCGATCCCCGCCGGCACCAATGAAATTGTGGATTGCAATTTTAAGTGCTGATTTACCAAGTGCTCGTGAAGGAAAACATCAGGAGGAAACCTGCATGTATGAGAAATAAGAAAATAAAATATTGCGAAGACATGTGAAGTTCGCCAACGCGCATTAGGTCTGCGCGGCGGACATTTCCTTGCCCTAAAACCATCTCAGAAATGAGAGGAGAACTGTTCCCAGCGATCGGATGTATATAGGTTGTAACTTTAAGTGTCTTGTGTCTTGCTAGTGTCATGTACTGCAGCCTCCTTTTTAATATCTAGCCAGACGATTACGGCAGTTTTGGATTGTCAACAATTATAAAACATGATAGAAAAGCTAACCGTTAAATAACCGAGACTATTCAGTTGCTTTAGCCCACTGTTGCTTCAAGACAACTGTAAATCACACAGCACAAAAGACGGTTGCTAAATTAGAGAAGCTGCGATTGGAATTTCTGCCACGCCCACAAAACTCCCCGTTGTCCAATAGATTACCACTTTTTCCGGAATTTGGACAACTTCTTGCAAGGAAAAAAATTCAATTCTGATGAGGTAGTCAAAACCGCCATCAAAGATTTTTTTGATTTTCGCATCCATAATTTTTTCAGCAAAGGAATCAAATCTACCTATAAAACGGCGAAAGTCCATAGATTTGTTTTCGTTTAGCTTTTTCTATATAAAGCGCCAATTACATACGTGTAATAAAAGCTTCCTTTATAAATAATTATGATACTGTAGGTATGTACGTAGGCAACTCAGAAAATTTTTCGGAACTAAAAAAAATTCTTTGGTTTAAGTTTTTAACATTATTTTCAAAAAACTTTCCACCAGCATCTATACAAAGTTTCATGCGTCTCCACCTATGACAGATCGAACGCTGCTAGCGTGTCTCCCAGCGATGAAAACTGTTTATCTTTTAGCTGATTTTAAAGAATAAAAGAAGTCACACAGTATTAATTCAGAACTGTAAGAGAGGCGACCCAAGAGCTTAACCGGTGTGCGCCTCAGAAAGTCCCTCGATTTGAGCGCTGAGCGTGCGAAAACTCTAGTTTTATAAGTGATAGAGCCACGCTGCAGCCACAATATGGTTGTACCACGAATGGGTCGGCTCGACCGGGGAAGGACCACGTTCTCACAGAATACCAGCGTAAAATAGCAGATATCTATGGGGTATAGATGTCTATGGGTCACAGGATCCACTTATTGGGTGGATCAGGTGGACTGTGTGCTCGTTTGTATTCTATAAAAAAAAGTTCGGTTGCTTGTTGCACCAAAAATTAAACACTTAAGGCAAGCATTAGTTATACTATGCGACATTGATGCCGATTCGATTTTGTAAAGAAATTGACACCAGATACAGCGTCAAAGTGAAATAAAAAAAACAATAATTTTTCCCCGTCCACGGCGCTTTGTTTCTGCATCGTAATGATATTCAGAACCTGTAAATACTCAGAGACAAGCTTGATTCAAATAAAGTAATAGTATCACTTCACTGTTCAAAACGGGCTTCCTTTTGAGCATCAGTGTGGTTATGCGGCACCCAACGCGAAACTATTC